TCTCTCTCTCTCTCTCTCTCTCTCTCTCTCTCTCTCTCTCTCTCATGTGCCAGGTACTAACCTCTGAAGATGGCGCCGTGCTGCAGGTACCTCAAAGACGAAGCTGGAGCTATGGCGCTGCAGGTAAGTTTCCCTGGCCTCCGCCCAATCTCTCTCTCTCTCTCCAGTACTACTCTAGCTCCTACTAGCGCCCAGCACTGAAGACTACTGCTAACGATACTACTACTACTGCAGTGCTCCTCCAGAGTGCTGCTGCTGAATCCTGAAGACTACCTCCTGCCTCCTGAACTGCACGTGAAGTGCCTGGGAAGTCCCTATGAACTACCTGCAGCCTGCAGGGCGGGACAGTCTTATATAGTGCTGGCCGGTCCAGGAGGCTGCTCTTGCCAATGCCAAAACGTGCCAGACCCTGGCGTTGAAGCTCAGACAAAGGTTGTCTTAAAACAGGGCCAAAATGGCCTGTGCTAAAACCCTGGTCTGGTGCCTAAGTTTCAGGGCAGGTCGATCTTATGAGGGCCTGAAAATGGCCCTCCGTTTCAGGCTGAAAAGACTCAGGGCCTGGAGGGCCCTGTTTTAGGCGAAAAATCGACACAGGGCCTGTAGGCCCTTGTTTTCAGGCTTTCAGGCTGAAACGAGACAGGGCCTGTAGGCCCTTGTTTTCAGGCTTTTAGGCTGAAATGACACAGGGCCTGTAGGCCCTTGTTTTCAGGCTTTTAGCAACACAGGGCCTGAAAATGGCCCTCGTTTCAGGCGCAGCAGGTTGCAGGCGCAGCATGTAACACCCTCCCATGGTCATGTACATGTGTACTGGTCCCCTGCACCGCAGAATCAGCGCCAAGGCATAATCATGTGTTTCATGAACAACATTTAGCATATTGCTAAGGATCCTGTTGTAAGTCAGGCTGGTATACATCATGGTAAAATCTGCTTTGTGTGGAGTAGAGCCTCGAAATGAACATTCATCCTGCTTGAGGTCCAGGATGACCTCCTCAGCATTTTGCACAACCCAGTACAATTGTATGCCACTTTCATGATAAAGCTTAATATCCTTACTGCGAAGAGACCTCATCACGCCTTGGAGAACGTAGCTGAGCGAGTGAGAGGTGATTGCTGTGCTTGCAAAAGGTTTATGACGAGGCCTGCTATGCATGTCTGCGACTGGAAGGCAACGAGCCATTGAGTGAGGTGCAGATTGGGAATGATTGTTATGGGGACTGAACCCAAGGATTGAACAAAGGGCTGGTGGAGGTTTGTGTGTTTTGAGTGCAAGGTAGAAATAGGGCAGGGTGTTCGCGTCCCAATAGCCCTAGTGTTGATTGAAAAGTGCATGGCCATTGAGGATGCTGTTCATAGACTCCGCTGTATGGCTATATGTTGGACTGTCGAGATGTGTTGTAATAGCCTGTATGCGTAGTAGCGTTTGCAGCAAAATGCCAGGCTGTGAGAGGTTTTATCGACTGGTACTACATGAAAATGTAGCTGTAGGTGCTGAAGAGATGTGTCCGCACCTCGTGCAGCAGCCTGAATAGGTGCCTGGTACGCAGAACTGGAAAAATTACGTTGGCATCTTGAAAGAATTGCAGTCCGCCAGCTGTGCAACTGGGAAAGACTGTTGGTAATTATTGGTGCATTGTTGGATGCTGATTTCATGGTTGCTATAAACTCGGCAATATACTTATCCAGACCGAGCCTCAGTGCTTTCATCATATCCATGGTCTTGGCATTGAGGCGGTACTTGGGGCCTTCAAAGAACAGAGCCCGCAAATGTGTCTTGCACACTAGCATAGTCCATCGTGGTCACATGACTATCAACAATGTCAGTACAGTGAGGAAATGCTTGTGGGCAAGGACAACTATCAGGTTCTGGAGGAGACATATTGCTTGTCATGTTCAGCTCCACATTTAGAAAGTTACAAAACTGAACACGAATGAGTGGCACCAGCTTGTCACAAATGTGTATGCTCATGGCAAAAGGAGGTCACGGGTGTAATTCAGAGACCTCTGGTAGCCGAAGGACGATCGTGTGGTGTGAGCAACCTCATGCATGCGAACGACCTTATTCAAATTTGAGAACGGCGCCTTATCATGTGTGGGGCTGGAATACGGTTGGCGTGAGCATTGGCGACCACAGATCATGCACCCTGGTTGACGTATGTTTGCTGTGAGATCAGCATTTGAGACATTTGTCTCAAGCCATTGCAGCAAGTGGGAGAGCCAGGCAGGCTTGGCTCGAGAGAGGATATGAGAAATGGATTGGCATTCTGAATTTGCTGCCTGTGTAAGCATGTCATGCAAGGCCAAGCACACAGTGCAGTAAGGACCCGAGGTAGTGTCAATTGA